TTACGCGAGTTGTATGTTATTAAAAATTCAGAAAAAATAGCAAAAATAAAAATAAAAATAAAAATAAAAATAAAAATGGCAATTATTTATAAATGTGGGGAAATTGATAAAGAAAATAGAAATTTCGTTTTCAAATTTAGTAATTCGAAGACAAAGAGTCTATATGTCAAACTTTGTTACAATAGTGAGACAAAAAGTTTAAGACTGTTCATGTCATTTGACGAGGGAGGACAACCGAATTTATTTGTTATTATTTATTTTTGATTTTATTATTACTTCCATTTTTATTTTTTATTTGTTTTTTTTCAACGTCAATCACTATTTTTAAGAAAATTAATAAATGTTACATGAAAAATATACATTATTTACTATAATTACACAAACATGTTAATGTTTTATTTTCATAAAGCTTTTTAAGCTAAAAATATTATTCTTAATTCATAAATCGGTGTTGTTGATATTGGAATTATTATTATTATTATGACTAAAATCGTTTAATAATAGATTTGACATTTCTTGCTCTCTTTTGGTAGTTTTGATTTCTAACTTTTGTTGATGGAGTGCTTTAATTAAAAGGAATTAATTTTTTTAAAAAAATTTTAACGTAAATGTGCAAATATTGAATACTTTGTTTGTTTACCTTGATTATTATTCTTAAAATAATAATTGGATGATAGATTTGACATTCTTCGCTCATTAATAGTAGTTATGTTTTGTAAAATTTGTTGATGAAGTGCTTTAACTTGTGAAATCAAAAACAACAAATTAAAATGAATTAATTTTTTCTGAAAAAATTTAGTAAATATGCAAATATTAAAGACTTTATTACCTTTGTTATTATTACCAAAATTAAATTTGTTAAAATAATGATTCAATAATGGATTTGAAATTCTTTGTTCATCAATAATAGTTTTGGTTTGTAAAATTTGATGATGAAGCGCTTTGACTTGTGAAATCAAAAAACAAAAATTAAAAGAATTGATTTTTTTTTTTTTTTTTGCAAATTAAATTAAATTTGCAAATATTTAAAATTGAAGGTTTTGTTTACCTTGATTGCTAAGATTTAATAATCGATTTAACATTTCCTGCTCGTCAGTAGTTTTGGTTTGTAAAATTTGTTTATGAAGTGTTTCAACTTGAGAAATCAAAAACAACAAATTAATTTTTTTTAAAAAAAATTTAGCAATTAAATATGAAATATTGAATATTATGTTTACATTGGTTACGAAAGCGTTTGTATGATCTATTCAGTCTTTGATATCTTTTGGCTTCTTTTTTCACGGTCTTGTTTCGATGACAATCATTTTTTGTCCCTTTGCAATGATCACAGACCTCTTTATTGTCGCATTTGATTTGCTTAATACTACATCGAATACAGGCATCAACGGCATATTTATAACTCTCCATTTTGATTTGTAAAAAAAGAAAAAGGATTTTGTCGTCGATTTAAATACTTTTATTTTCCTCCTTTATTCTAATATTTTTGGATGATGATGATATATTAAACGGAAATTAAATAAATTGAATTGATGTTTTGTATACAAATAAGCTTTAAAAACATTCATCATCTTTGACGATTTTCCTTAAATGGAAACTAAAGGGGTTTGGCTTAGCTTTAAATGTAACCTCTGACAAGATTATAGAAAACATTCAGAATATAAGTTATTCAATTTCCGTGAATTATTATTATTAGGGCTGAACGCGTAAATGGCTCATGATTTACTTGACTGATAGGAAACATCTTATTATTTCGGGAAAAATTTTACCCGTGCAAAGTACTTTTCGATCTTTCTGGTTTTATCGAAATTATTTTAATAAATTAACTTATTTATTTATTATTTGTATAATTATTTTTGATTTGTAAAAAAAATTGAAATCAAAAGATTTTTTTTGCGAATTTAAATGATCGAATGATGAAATATAACAATAGTTTTTAAGTTTTATTGTTTAATGTAAGTGGATGTTACAATATTTTGATAAATATTTGTATAATGTAAAAATTAAATTTTTCTTTTTAATTAAAGTTTATATTTTTTTCCAATTAAATTTTCTTTTTAATTAAAGTTTATATTTTTTCCAATTAAATTTTCTTTTTATATTTTTTTGAATTATAAACAGTTTATGCAAATATGAATGTATGGGCATAAATTATGGAAATTATCAAATCCTTATTCTAATTTTTTGTAAAAGACTGCACTAATACTATATTTCAATTTCCGCGAATTAATAAGTATTATCATCATTATTATTAGGACTGAGTAGCTATCTAACTCGTGATTACGATTACTTTATAATTTAGGAGGCATCTTGTTATTCGTTATTTAAGAATCGGTATTCGATTTTATCGTTGTATTATTATTATTATTGTTGTTGTTGTTGTTATTTATCCGCAAGATCTACAGGGTACATAAAATTGCTATATTAATATAGTATAATACCGTATTATACATGGTATAGTGCAGGACACCTAGTCCCACAACTTTTTATTGGTCTTGTATATCCTTTAGTATACCAGAAATGGAAATG